TGCCCCAATTTATCCCCATTACATGCAGCAACACTGGAAGGAGTAAGTCTCCCACACCATGGGAGAAGGGGTTCTGCAGTAAAGAGGAGCACAAGTTTTTCTTTTCTCAGTACAATTCCTGGCACAGCCTCAGATTATTGGCACTGGTGATATAAAAATGTGTCCTCCTATATCATATTGTCTCAGGATATATTTCTTCAAATACCTGAAAATGACTTTTCAGACCCAAAAGGGACATGGCATCAAACAACTGGGCAAATACTTTCAGGGCACTTTCCATCATCTGTGCAAGGAAAAGAATTGACAAAAAAACCTAATTTTTTTCAAAATTGTTCTGGAACAGCAATTGATGCATTGCTATGTGGACCAGCAGAAGCAGCCAGGAAAACCTACCTGTCAGAGTACTATTAACAGCTTTGAGAAAGTCCCATGCCTTCTCTGGTACTGGGCTCTCCACACTGAGTCCTATGAGAATATTATTAGTAAGACAGGTGACATTTATAAGCATCCTTTTGTTGCTCATTGTGAAGCTAAGATTTGCCTTCAACGTACACTTTTACTTTGCTACCTCTGTCCTGGTGAATCTCAGCCCCCCATCTCAAGCTGCCTGAAGGAGCCCAAGTCTGCTCCCCTGAAGTCCAGGACTTTCTCCCTCTCACTTGCCTTCCTCACACCCCCTTTCACATCAGCCACCATGCAGACTGGCTCATCTCTGGCTTTATGCCCTGCTGGAGGAGTTTCTAGTCTCTAGTGCTCCCTAGGTAGCTCTGGTTCTGTGAGCAGCTGAGACACCTCTGCAGAAGCACCATTAGGATGGCTCATGTTTGTAGCTATCATTGGTTGGGGTGAGAGAGACTGCAGGGTGCTGGACAGGGAGATGTGTATCCCTGGCTGGAGGCAGCATGATTTACTGTCTGTCAGGACAGAGAGCTTGCTGGCCACAAATCCTATTTTGCCCCTGCACTTTTTTGATGTTTAAAACTGTATTCTCTAACAGAAAGACTCAGCTTTTATGGAGTAAGGGCTTCAAAGAATAATTTAATTTCACAAGATCCTTTACATGGTAACAGCTATAAAGCCTCCTCAGCTTTCACTGCTTTTACCAGTAAGTGCTGGGCCAAATCACTGATGACAGAACCAACCAAGGACCACTACAAGTGACTTAAAGATGCATGGATATAAAAATTCATAAAATTTTTTAAAAAACAATTAATTTATTGTTTCAGAAGAGGTGACAGCAAACTCGCTGTATGTAGCTGTACATACAACGAAAATAGTAATTACTGGCTCCAGGCACTGAATGTTTTCAAAGAGGTCCTGAATTCCAGGGAAACAGAAGGTGTATTGCAGATGGGCATCACACTGTAGCAATGTATAGTTCAGATGGCCTTAGGAAGAGGAAACACAAGCCTAAAGGTGAAAACCCCTCAGATATTGGTAGGAAACACGTACTCACTGGGGAGCATTAAAAAGAGATTACTTACCTTACCCTCAGTATTTAACCCTCCACAGAACGAACTCCCATACCAACTGCTATATGAGAGAGTATTAGAGCTCATCCCTAGGGCCAGCTTTTGTAGCTAAGCAAATTATCACATTGTAACAAACGTCGTAAACTATAGCTTAAATTAATAATGAGTAAGGGTACACAAAGGCCTTCCTGTGCTTGTGATACCACCTTCACAAAGCGATCGCGTGTGACTAGCTTATCTTTGGGCTTCATCTTGAGATGCAACAGTCGAACTGAGCGATGCTTCAGTGGTGACGGATTGCTGCCATCCTGTGGCAGGCAAATGTATTTCAGACTGACACTTGCCTGAAAGAAAACCGTCCTTTAAGGGTGTCGTTTTAGAAAGAACTAAACATTATTATTCTTAAATGCCACAGAAGGAAAGCCAGTTGTCTGTAACCTGCAATATTCAGATCTTAGAAAGCCGTGAGCCATTACAGCGATTCTACCACAAATTACTCTTTGAAGCAGAAAATAAGGACAAGGTGGGAATGGGCTCATGTCACCTTTTTACTTGGAGAGGTTTGCAGCATCCAGTGGTCGAACCAGAGGATGGTAACCTTAGCCCAGTTCTAACCCTAACCATTTCAGACTGCTAGTTCCAGAATGCACATAAATAAAAGGATATCCTTTTTCTAATGGCAACTGTGCCAGTGTCCTCAATTGGAAAAGCCATCAGACAGCTCAAATAAGGTGAGCCCTCTGCTAAGATTGTATCCAAACACAATGCAAATAGCACCGTTCCCAAAACTGAGTCCAAGGGGTGTGTTTAGGGAGGTGTGGGGCATAAATGAACCAGTGAATGACCAATTGATTGTTACTTTCTAAGATTCCATTCCCCACATCTTGTCCCCAGTTCCAGTCTTTGGTGGAAGAAAGTTTTCTGTAACATGGCTTTGAGACCCAGGCATCTGGGAACACATGAGAACTTGCACATGGACAGTAGTGGGTCCAGGACTGTTTAAGTTGTTTATCAATGACCTGGATGAAGGGGCAGATGCCTCCTCAGCAAGTTCACTGATGACATAAAGCTGGGAGGAGTGGCCGATGCCCCAGAGTGCTGTGCAGCCCTTGAGAAGGAACTAGACAGGCTGCAGAGCTGGGCAGGGAGGAAACTTCTGAAATTCAACTGAGAGAAGTGCAGGGTTTTGCACTGGGAGAGGAAGAATGCCCTGCACCAGCACAGGCTGGGGACTGACCTGCTGGAAAGCAGCTCTGCAGACAGGGACCTTGGGGTCCTGGTGGACAACAAGCCATCCATGAGCCAGCAGTGTGTTCTTGTGGCCAAGAAGGCCAATGGAATACTGGGGTGCATTAGGAAGAGAACTCCCAGCAGGTCAAGGGAGGTGATCCTGCCCCTCTGCCCAGCCCTGGTGAGGCACATCTGGAGTGCTGAGTCCAGCCCTGGCTCCTCAGGAGAAGAGACACATGGAGCCCTGGAGTGGCTCCAGTAGAGGGTAACAAAGGTGACTGAGGCTCTGGAGCATCTCTCTGATGAGGAAAGGCTGGGGGAGCTGGGCCTGTTCAGCCTGGAGAAGAGGCACTGAGAGGGGACCTCAACAATGCCTGGGAGTATCTGAAGGGAGGTGCCAGGAGGATGGAGCCAGGCTCTGCTCGCTGGTGCCAAGCAATAGGACAGGAGGCAATGGGCAGAAACTGATGCACAGGAACTTCCACCTCAACATGAAGAAGAGCTTCTTTACTGTGTGGGTGACCGAGCACTGGAACAGATTGTCCAGAGAGGTTGTGGAGTCTCCCTGACCAGAGATATTCCAGAACTGTGTGGACACAATCCTGTGTAATGTGCTCTAGGAATGATGACCCCAGTATCCAAGTTTTATACACCATAAAGGAAAAAAAGGAGGAAAAAATGCAGCTACAAAATTCAGTAACTAGATCTCCTGGTTCACGGTTTATAGCGTTTCTTCATTTATTGTTAAGACTGAACTGTGATCAGCTAATCCAGCGAGCCATTGCTGATCAAGACATTCAAACAAAACAGCCACAATTCCTGAGGCAGGTCCTGGTCAAAACAATGTTAGCAAGGGAACAAGACATTTCAATTCACTCATTCATTTGACCAGGACAAACCACTTTAACACATTCCTTCTGGTTCCTCAGGTGTAAGAAACTTTGTAAGGAAGGCAACTAGCAATTCTCCATCATTAGATGGCCCCTATAAAATGCTCAAACCACACTGCTACCTGCAAAACTGTAGACACCTTGAAAATAAATTGTATTGTCTTTGCATTACAACAGGTAGATTGCCTGTATCACAGAGTGTTTCTGTTCAGGGTTAAAATAAACACTGCTGGGCCCACAAGAAAAGCAGAACACTAAATTCACACAATGTGACTCAAGATCCATTTTGTTCTGAGATTTCATATTTACTGTATGACAGTCTAAGTGGTTTTCAGAGTGTTTTTATATCCAGGGATAACTTGGGGGGTTCATGAGTTTTAAAAATCAGGATTAGTATCTGACTGAATAATAATTCCACCATTGCCCAGAAGAAAGAGTCACTGCAGAATGACATGAGGAATCAGTAGGTTCAGTCAGATGGTTTGGATCCATTAGAACCAGGAGCACTCCACTGGAAAGCTTTGCCAGTGAGGCTGCTGCTGTCCACTGCAGCTGCCAGAGCAGGAGAAGCAGGTTTCCTGCTGCACAGGCTCTGCACCATCTACAGCTTCACGAGCTGAAACCCAGGCCATAAACTGTCCCTTTGGAAATGAGGAGGAAGCTGCTGTGAAAGGTGCTGTGCAGATACACGCTTGATTATCAACACTGTTGCAAGCACAGGGTGCCATTTCTGGTCTGGTCTTGTTTCCAAGGACAAGCACACAAAAAGAATCCCAAGGTAATCCACTCTGGAAGCAAAAATAATGCGAACAGCTACCATACTACTCCAAGTTAAAGGCTACAATTACCTGGCACAGTCAACAGCAATGTTCCTTATCACCAATTCCCTACATCAGCTGAGAGTCCAGCTACATCATTACCTATCACCAGAAGGGAACTCAAGTTGCTTTCAAGTTTCTTCCCTTAACCAAAACCGTACCTTTTAGGACTCTTGACTACCTCTGACATCCTGTCCAGACAGACCCCGGCTCAAAATTTTAACTGTATTCATGAAGCAAATAAACTTCAAACAAAATAGCTGAAACACAGAAAAAGGGTAAGATAAAAACAAACAAACAAATTAAGCAAGTGATACAAATAAATTAAGTACCTTAAAATTCAATGACTTTAGGGCAACTTTGCTTCCAGGACTCTTCGTAACAATAGTGGAGTGGATTTTCATGAACTCTGCTAAGGTATCTGTCAGCTATTTTTGGGTGGCCATTTACACCTGTCACATGCTAAAACTAAAAAAAAAAAAATGAAATCCATCTCCCTGAAAGAATGCAAGATTCAATAATGGATTTGGGAAAAAAGGATGCATAGTAGAAAATACAAAGTACTTAGAACTCAGCAGAAAAGCAGATAAGCACAGTTCTTTTTATTCAAATGTTTTGAGATCTGTTTATGTACATATACAGGTATACATATAATACTTGCCACATTTGGCAGCTGTTGTTTAATGCATACAAGGTAAACAGGTACTTTTCATAATGAAACCTTGCTTAGTCTGATGAGAGGCATGAAATTCCTAAGCAGATGCTTAGCTCACTAAAGCTGTTTCTGGTCTTTATTTCCAGTTTCATTACTTTTAGTAGTTTGTAACTTTAAGTCATCCAAGATTTGTTACAAGTAACATAAACTTTGACAGAAGTTTTTTTGTTGTTTTCCTTTTTTATTTCCCTTATTTACTCTTCTCTTAATTGTTGTTGTTTTATTTTGTTCCATCTTGTCACTTCAAGCCTCATCAGAAGATTGAAGCACCTCTGAATAATCTCACACAGAGACATTGTGGGTTTCACATGTGCACCTTTTTTAAAATAAAGCAGGGTCATCCCCTTTGCCCATTTGTAGGCATCAACAGTTAACACCAAGAATTTCTACACAAAAAGCATGCCATAATGAATTTATAACACACCAGCTACAGAAATAAATGGCTGCCTTCTTTTTAGAGAAACCACAAATGAATTAAAGTAAAGCAACAAAAAAACTTCTTCACATATGCCACACTTATGGAGAGGACCTATTTATTCCTGAGCAGGCTGGCAAGTATCCATTGGTGGTCAAGTGGGGGAGAGGGAGGAGAAAAAGAATTTTAAGCTGAAAAAGGCACAAAAGACAAAAATATTGAGGCCTTGAGAGAAAAAAACACCCTGAAATACATTTTAAAAACTATCTTCAAACCATGTTGTTTTACTGATCAAAATAGTATTCAGTGATGATGATAAAGCTGAACATTAAAGATGATGCAAGGTACTCAGGACAAAATTTGTCTTTAACTAACAAAACCCCTAAACACTTTAGATGGAAAAAACCTGAAGAAAACACATAATTATCTCTTTAGAACCTCATATTCCAACACCTTCAGATATTCAGTATATACATCTGGATGAAGAATCAATAGGAATTCAACCTAGAAAAAAGTGTGTTTTAGTTTTATTTTTGTTTTTTTTCATAGGTACTGCTTACATTTCAGTCTCACCTTTTAGACTGGCAAAATTACTTGTGACAAGTATTTGAAGTTGAGAATATGGGGAACATTTTTTTTACAGGATTTATAAAGTACATTCTCATCTGTTTGAATGCAGGTACATCATCACAGAGGAGACAGTGCATACAATTTACAAGAGATATTTGTAGTAAAATTCAGAGATACATAACAACAAACATCTCAATATAATACTAACTTGGAAGCCAGGTGCAAGTTTTTCAAACTGTAAATGTATTTTTAAAAAGATACTGCCTTTTAAAATCTTTATATATTGAAGCATTTTCATTAAGATCAAACATTTTTTAAAACCAGTAAAATTATAGCAGCAATATGGGAGAATATCTAAGCCACATGAACATTATTAGTCAAAATAAAACCAAACATGAAATATTACATTAGTCAGATGTTTGTGTTAATACCAAGAACAAGTAACACACAATTACTTATGTCAAACCAAGAAATATGGATTTGTTCATCTATGAACAAATCTGTTATATACAAAGCAGGGTTGATTGCTCACTTTTACAATCACCTTTCTGGAGTGTCCTGGAGAACTCACTTGAATCTTAAATTCCAAGTCTGACTAAGATAATGTTTTCATCTTTGTTTAGTAATCAAGGGTGATTTTAAATATGGATTCCTTAAAATGAAGCTTTTTTTATTTACACTATTCAAAGTTTACCTTTCCTTCCAACAACAAAATGTGCAGGAGGATTTACTACATGCTATACAATGAAAAAATAGACTTTAAAAAGTCAGAACAATGCAAGTAAAACTGTACAATGTTTGTTCCCTGCTCTAGTTCATTGCACTATTAAGTTAAACTGGATGAGTTGTCATGCCCAGATGACTTACTGTAGGATCAGAAAATCCACACACATAGAGGAGGTAAATGAATACTGCTTTAAGTATAGTGCCATATGAAAAAATACTATGAGTTTTATCCAAGGAAAGCTTCTCATCACAGAAAGGAGCATGGCTAATTCTGAAAGGCAGCCCTCTTCATGTAGGACACAGAACTGCAAAAAAACCACAAATACACGTTGATAAATATCAGTGAAGTTGATCTGCATAAAAATGTAATGCATATACTAAAATATTTAAATGTTGGATTCTACCCTATTAGTAGCACAGTAAAATCTAGTAATCAACTGAAACTGGCAATTAAGTTTTCATCCTCTCTCAAAAGGTAATGAAGTGACACAACCCACTACCTTTAACTAGTATTATCCAGAAATGAGTTAACTAAAGGTCATGTCTTAAATAGTGCTTTTTAAAGTGTTATATCAGAAAACAGAACATTAAATAACAGGTGATGCATGCAGTTATGTTTTAAAAATATGCACTGACAACTTGAGATTCTAACTCTACTTTCTAATTCTGGTGTGGGTACTAGAATCACACAGTGGCAAGATAAGACATGTCCTTCACGTGTTTCTCATTCCTGTTTTAATGTAAGACACAAACCTCAGAGCAATCCAGCTTTCAAACCAATGCTAGCACAACACAAAAGCAAATAAAGAAGTCAGGTGTAACAATTAAACAAAAACTTCAAAGGCAAGTAAATAAATGTTCTCATTATCTGAAATACTTGCATAATTTAAAAATAGAACAAGGTGCAAACCCTTCATTAAAACAAAATAAATTATAAACTTTTACTTGAAAGATCAGATATGAAATAGCAATGAGAGAGACGGGCAATTTTTCTGCTTTCATGACATCTACATTCAGAAAAAAGAAGAAAACAATACTAGACACTTCATGCATTTTACTAACTAGTAATGCATAGCATATTATTTTTATCACTATTTTTGTCACAGTTACTGTTTGAGGATAATTGGAAAGGAACGCAAAGCTTAGCAGTAAATACATCTTATAAAGTTTACTGTAACGACGCATCTGATTTCAGAGGAAATAATTTCAGCTGTAAGAACATACTTATATATTTTATGTAACAGTTATGTAGATATTATTCTTGTACACAAAGCTAGATCTTCACATTTTGCAAAAACTGGAAGTTAAAAAGTAGTAATCTTGAAATAACATGTCTAGATGTGATACCAGGCAATCTAACCTAATATTTAATTGTGTGTATACACTGGTTAACATTTCATATATATTACTGATTTGTTCTGGAAGTAGCTAAATTAAGGAACTCTTGCTTCCAGCAGATTTTGTCAGATATTCTTCACTACCCACATAGCAATAAAACAAGATAATTCCCCTTCCCACAATGTTGTCCTCAGCTTCTACTTTAAACCTGCTGTGAAGTCCATCCCAGCAGGCCCTCTCTCCCTGTTCTCATGCCCCAAAGAAACAGGAGCCCCTGTACGAGCCTTCAAGTAGGTGAATACATCAGACCCAAAGAGATGCTGGCTTTTCAAGGCAACAGCCACCAGCTCAATGCAAACAGCAGCTCCAGTCCTTCTCCTACCTAGATGCTGTTCCCTACAGTATTTCTGTTACTCCCACAACACCTGCTTCTGTCTTGTAGGGTTGAAATTGGCAATCACTACTTGTGAAACTGAAGAGACAAGCAACTGCACAGAGGCATTTTCTTCAGAAAGCAACCTAAACTTGCATACTGCAAAGATTACAACTACATGACATATAATATACATAATACTAATAATATAAATATTAATTTTTATAATAAATATAAAATACGACTTGTATTATTGCACTTGACAAATTAATCATTATGCGGAAAGTCATTACAAAACCGCAAAGTTTTAAAAAGAAAGTAAAAATTCAATGAGCACTGTCCATACAAAGACATTTTCATCAAAGGATATGGTACTTACTACTGTTGCAACACCTAAACCAAATGCAGCTACAAGGTACAACACCAATATCTCCATCTGCTTTACAGCTTAACTTGTGCACAAAAAACTTAGCTTATTTATGTCTTTCAATGGATATAAGCACAGAGTTTTCAAATCACATTCTATTAGTCCAACCATCAAAAAAGGTCAATAGAAAGATGAGAACAAACAGCATTTAAATACTGTGACCTTACTAAGCTGCCAGCTTCAGTCCAGAAGTGTGCTTTCTATAATAAAGAATTTCAGTCCTGGTTTGGTATTTCTTTCCCTGTCAGTAAATTCATTCCCCTACCCTTTTTCAAATCCCAGTTTCTCCTTCGTGACTCCTAGTGATAAAATACAATAACAATATTGGTATATTAAAATACATTCAGAAAAAAGCACAATTGCAAATGCTGGTCAATTTCATGTTACCACCTATAAATCATACACTAGTGGGAGAAGAACTAGAGTTCACTTGCAAAGATAATCACTAATTCCCTTTCATTTTGTTAGGTTCAGGATAGATGTTCACTGAAAAGTAAAATGAAACAGAACCTCACAAAAGAAAAAGTATCCCTTTGAAAATAATTTAGGCTGCAATAACAGCAACACGAACAAGAGAAAATAAGCTGCTACACTGTACCAGACTCTTCACAGGGTATGTACTTAGTCTGGCTTTGGGATACTTACCTTTGAGAAGATATTCCTTACAGAAAAGATCCAGGGGAGAGCTAAATGACCCCTGGAAAGAGGGACTTAAGCATGACAAGGAAAATGATATTTTTAACATTTTGGGGGACACAAGGGGGCAGTAGAAATTGGGGAAAGAAGATGCTTTAAAGAAAGCAAGCACCAGAAATAATTTCAAAACTAATAATCCTACTGAGAAATGCATATAGAGGTGGTTTTATCCCCTAACATGAAATGGCCAGAGTTGTTCTTTTTAATTTATTTATTACACTGGATTTGCACACACCACGTTTTGAGGATTTCCACTTCCAGCACTTCAGCAGGATTAGTTGATTATGAAAAAAAATCCAAGAATGATCTATGGTAACACAGAAAGTCAACAGCAGGTCTGGCTGCAGAACTGTCCTTCAAGTTCCAGCTGTTGTCCGAACAACCTTACCCAATCATTATTAAATGAAGATAGTGAGTATTAGTACACACAGAGGGTGTCTGTGTCTTCCTACATGATCCAAATTTCAGAATTATTGGGCATTTAGTTCAAGTTATTCAAGATTACACAGAATTTCTGAATTCTACAAAACACAATGGAATTCAGAGAAAATATAAACTTATTTCACTATCCTCAGAACACCAGTCATGTGGTAAGATTTTGTGTTACATCAACAATTATGCTCAATCTTATGGTTCCATTCACCTTTCCATGTTCACAGCATTCTTCTACTTGTTCCTTTACATTGTACTAACAATACTTTGGCAAAAATCTTTTTCCTGATATTTTTTTCTTCAATTTTTTGCTTCTGAACAATTTAAGTAACTTTTCAAGAGTGAGCACTAGTATCTGGGCAAGTCTGTTAATAATTCTGTGGACAGCTGTAACACTGACATTAAGACTGCATATCCTATTTTTTTACATACCACAGAATAGCAAGACAGTGCTGCTTTAAAAAAATAATCAAGAGCATGTTTGTAAAATTTATTTTTTCTGCTCTGCAAAACATAATATAAAGTTTGAAAAAAGTTTTTATGTCGGTGCAGTCAGATGCCAAACTGGATTTCCTATAAAGCTACACATATCCTAATGTCACAGGTAATTTACTGGTTTTTTTGTTGCAAGACTGGAAAAAAATGATCCTCAAAGGAACATGTACTTAACAGATTTTAAAAGAAGCAAGTACCTCTAGTGATATAATTCACACATTTCAAAATTTCATTTCTTGATTATATCTTAAGAAAAAGCAATAAAATCCATTCTGTGTAAAATGAATACAATTACCACTACACCATATGGATTAAACCACTGGGTCCAGAACTTCTTTCAGGAAAAAAATTTAAACCCTAAATCTTCTTAAAGATTTTTACCTTGCCAAGACATTTTTAATCTTTACAGTGAAAAGAGCAGAATCCTCTAAAAGTAGGTCACTCTTTTTATTTCGTAATTTAAAAAATAGGTTAGAATTTCAGGTATTAAAGCTCGGCTGAAAGTTGATCTAAGTGGTTGTTAAGAATTCAACCAATCTCCTCTTAACAAGCTTTAAAAATAATGTCCAGACAATAGACTGGTGGCTGGGAGTATTTTGTGCCATTAAAGCTTTGCAGGAGTTTCAGGCCAAAGTTTTAGTGGCAGAAAAAGAGCAGTAGGTTACAACTTCAGAAACAACTGGAAGACTTTGCCTGTGCCACAGAATAATCTACAGTACAAGGTAATATTGTTAGTTGAGTTATAAATATTTAATATAATGTCAACATAGCATATAAAGCTTAGTTAAGGCTATACTGAAAGGAAGAGTAAAATTCTACGCTCACTAGCTCTGCTCGCAACTATCTGCCACTGAACACACAAACCCACACAGGATGAAGAAAGCCTTGGTTCTGTTCACTAAGGAAGTGGTAGCTGTGGGGAAATTGACTTTTCCTTTTGCTATGAGTGATGTGAGTGATTGCTCTTCATGAGCCCAATATTTGTGTTCCACAATTTAAAGGCAACAGTATTTGCATATGATGGACAACCTGTTTGATCCAAGACACTCAATGCATGGTATTTTTGCAATTGCTGCATCGCAATGGTAGAATATCCTTGGTGATTTTTAAGTAATGAGCATACAAGAGGCAGGAAGGAACTTCAGTTCAAGCTTCCTAGCTCATCCTCTCATATGTTCAGGTAGTCTACTTTTATCAGCCTTTGCTTTTAAAAAAGATTTCTCCATTTCCCTAAATTGCCAGTTTCTCCTCAATATCTCAGTAATCTGAAAGTCCTTCTGGGTAGATACATCTTAAAATAAGAGCAGACACTGTGAAAAGCACTGTTAAATCCAGTCACTTACTACCAGATGTACTATGAAGAGCAAAAAGTTTTAATTAATGACAACAGTTCATCCTACTGGGACAAAGATTCTGCTTCACAGAAGTATGGATTAGTCCCATCAACACTAAAAAAACCTTGAACATGATCCTACAAGGCTCACATGCAAACACATCTGTCTAATTTAGGAATAATTTTTAGAAAGAATAAGTAAACAATGGAAAAATCAAAGGAATAAATTGAAAGGATCTCTGCATTCTTATTGTATGTGGCAGTTCTTCAACCCTACACAAAACTCAGAAATGGATCTCTTTCAACAGGAAGTCTCTTGGAGCTTCCAGAACATTGAATGTCTTTTTCAGATTTTCTGAAGTGACAGCAGACTATATGTCATCCATAACTCAAACCTTTCAAGTATCTGTGAGATGAGATTATGAGAGTGACTGCAAGTTTGTGTAAGAAATACAAAAACCTTTAAAAATCATATGGAGTGAGTGAAGTCAAAAGACAGTATATTTGAAAACAAGATGAGACTTGGAATGCATGATACCAAAATAAGAGAAAAACTTTCACAGCATATGAAAAGCAGAGTATTATAAACATTTTGGTGGCAAACAAAATGGCACCCATAATCTTTCTGTACAGGTATTTGTTCAGATCTTGGGAGTTTGATGCATTTGCTAAACTTTAAACACTTAACAAAATTGTGTCATATGCCAAGAATTAAGTAAGAACATAAGCATTAGTAAGATCTAGGCAAAAATGAAGTCAGATGTGAAACATTTTAAAATAATTTTACAACCTGGAAACTATCTGGAACAACTCCTTTAAAACTAAGGCAAACAGAATTTGTTCATGTCTCACATTCTTTAAACACAATCAATGTGTAAGACTGGAAAATAAATGACTCATACAAAAACTTATAAAACAATATCTCAAGAAGGTATAATAAATGAAATAAATACTTTCTATTATTGATCAGAAGGTAGCACTTGAAATGAAGCTGTAAGCACTCTGCATAGCAAATGCTATGCCATGGGTAGTTTGAGTTCCAATTACTAAAAAAACTGTGCAATGGAAGATTTTAACTATACCCATTTCACTTTGTAAGCCAGATTCCTTTGCGCCTGCTGATGTCATTCAGCAGTTTGCTATATTTTACTAACACAAACAAAATAAACATATTTTATGTATGAACTGTACCTCGGAATGCTTGGACAAAACAAAACATAAATGAGAGCTGTGTTTGATTGAAAGGTAACATAATTCATGAATGCTGTAGGATCACTATTTTCAAATACACATTGTAAGTCAATCAAGTTAATTTAGAATCCAATAAAATCCCTGCTGACAAGCATACTCACCCTTTAAAATATAGTCTGTTAACAAGCTTGGCACTTTCTCACTATCCTCTTTCATGGCATGCAGAACTAAAGAATGAAAAAAAATCAGATATTTACTCATAAATGAAACATAACACATAAAACAAATACCTTGGAGCAGCTCCAACTGCTCATAGAGATACTACCATGAGATGTAAGAAATCTCTTAAGTGAAAGATGAGAAGATACAAGGAGACATCACATCCTCTCCACCTTTCACTTGTGTAATTCTCACTGAGCTCCACAGTTTCTGAAGGCAAGAGTCCCATTTAATGTGGTTAATATTACAGTAAAATGCCATCAGTCAGAACAATAAGCACCTCTTCCCTATAAAAGATTCTAACCAAAAGAAAGTCATGACATCCAAAAACGAAAGTATGCTAACAACTATTGATAAGCTGGAAATCTCAGAACAGAAAAGTATGCTTCATTACTTAATGTCTTTGATCATTACCTCAAATAATGGAAAAATACTGTGAATGACTATATGGAAATATTAGTGGTGCTTTTTTTCCCTCCCTGAAATGGTGAATGTTATCTGCTGTAGATTCAAAAAATCTTAACTACATTACTTAATTCAGCACTAACTTATAATAACGCAAAAATGCCATTTTGTGACATATAGGAGTAGATCTTGTCCATCTTGCCTATTTCTGAAGAAGAAATGGACAAGCTTTACTGGACATGTGTACACTTGTCTGTCACTACATAAAGAAAAACAATGACTATTATTTATAAAGCGCTCAGGACATGACTAAAAGAAGCAAAATTACAAAATTCTACTGAAAAGCAATATTTAATAAACTCCAAATTCCTCATATGAGTCTCTAAACTCAAATTATAACAAGTGTTTCATTTCAATTTTTACACTGAAGTAAGACATTAGTGTTCATAACTATGGAGTAATACAGAGCTTTGAAAGAAAAAACAACTGAACAACCAACTAAACACCTGCATTACTGCCTGCCTGAACAACAGCAGAGACAGTGAGTCACAGATCTGCAACTGACTCACAGGATCAAGTTCCAACCAGCCCACAGAAATCAATATTGTTAATGCTCTTTTTACAATGCATCTGTGCGAGACCTTTTTTTAATAAACCATCAAACAACACAAAATGTTTTCAAGAGGCTTTAACATGTGGTTAATAGTGTCAAGTGAAATTTGAATATGGCAAGAGGATAAAATTTCATGGCAAGAATAAACATAAAATGAGAAATCCTTTGTCACAAAGTAAGTACAAATTAACACCTAAGGCTGTCTACTGTAGAAAAATAAAGGGAACTTTAATTCCTACTTAAACATTTCATTTACTCTGGAATTTATATAATATTAATTTTCTATTTCCAGAAAACAACCAATGAGCCTTTTACCACCCCTCAGACACCTGTAGAATCACAGAACTGCTGCTGAAAATCACCTTAAAGACATAGTGAGATTCTCCACTGAAGCCTGATCAAATGCATTGATGCACTCTACCACTTATTTTTAAACTGTTCCTATAAATATCCAATGAAGGAGATGCTATTGACTCCTAGAGATGCTTTGCTGTATTAAACCACCTTAATAAGTATTTTTTAAAATACAACCTTGATTTCTTGCAAATTGGAATTTAAAAAAAAAGCCCAATAAAATCAAACAACTAGAGGATTTAGAACTTGCAATACTTTTGAGGATCTTGCCTAAAAAAGATGTGAAGAACAGGGACTTCAAAGCATTGTCAAAACTGTGTTCGGAATTTCTAATTATCAAAATTTATTAACAACAAAACCACCCCACCAAAACCAGAGAGAAGCAGGCTATTTTAAAGGCAATCAAGTGCAATCATTATTGAACTAGTCATAAGTATCTTGACATCCACTCCATTTTGTCAAAGTCATTACAATAACCTCAGTAAAGCACAGCAAATGGAAACAAACAGGGATGTATCAGGCACTGTAAGACCAAATTTCATGCTATGCAGCTAATATCAAAACATGGGAACATTTACATTCTGATACCTGCAGGATTCTGGCCTTCAGGGCTTCAGACAACAGCTAGGAAACAAACCTAACATGAAGGCTCAGGAAACAAGGTGGCCAAAATCTATGGTTAAAATCATGCATCTTTACATACATGCCCTAGGGTAAGAGGGAAGAGAGAACTGGATGGATTCACTGCTTTGAGCAACCATAACTGGATATACAACGAGGAAAGTATCAGGGGAATTTCATATGCTCACTTTTGGTTAATGTTTGAAGGTCTTCAACAGATGGGGGTCCATTTTTCTTCTCATAAGGAATGACGGTTGTCAAGTACTGTCAAATGAAAAACAGAGTTACTTGACAGTCCTTTCATGCAACTCTGTTGTTTGCATTTTGTAAAAATTGCAGCAATTGAAATTGCGAGCCACAAATAATCACATTTCAGAACAGATTAAATTCTACCTTTCCATCTCAGAGATTTTATCACAGAAACCAAGTTTGTTTTGTTTCTTTTTCCAAATTCTGTGGCCACTAGAAGTCATGCAGCTAACTGTCCTCTCTGCAAAGAAATGATGTTGTCCCACAGTTAGGTGGAAATGTAAACAGATGGCTTTCACCTTCTGCTGCTATACACTTCCAACCAAAAAGAACAAGGCAAGCCTAATGAAACATAATACCACAGAATACAGAATTTGATTTAAATTATCAGTTTAAATAGCTGAGTGTACTAACAGACAGTTTCAAACCAACTCCTTTTAAATTCTATTTACTGAAATCTTTAATTCTAGTCTGCTTAAAAAAAAAAAAACAGCAAAATTTCTGAAATCTTTCAAGATTTTCATACCTGCAGTGCAACTAGGATTAATTTTCAAATTCTTGACGTAACCCTGCTGGGTCTTATAGAACATGCATTTTAGGCAACACCTTGCTTTGCAGCCTGTATGAATGCATATTCTCCTTAAAGAGGTCAGAATTTCAAAAGTACTAAAAGAGCTGGAATTTTCCTCAATGGAAAAGCCTCCTACAATTTCTCTCAAGTTAATTTTTAAGACTAAAAACAGGAACTTTATTCTGGTTTTACAGCTACAAGGCAGTAGGCAAAGTAACCCTCAATGTCTCATTCAGCTTGACATCTAAGTAGTTCTCCAGGCAACGAGCAGAAAACACATTACAAGCAAGGTACAAGGTCTCCTCCTCCCCTTGGTAACAGCCCTTCCTTCAGTGAGAGCCAGGTGTAACTCAGCCTGTGGTGAGGAGCTGCACCTTGCAGGGGGAGCTGAGGCTTGCCACACGCAGCTGTAACCACTGCCCTGTTTGCAGCAGGATCACGCACCTCACGCCCAACCACGACATCTGCCTAAAAGCAAACAGCTCAGCAGCACTGAACCAACTGCACAGGTGGTGCTGATACCTCCCCAAGACCTTCTGCAAACACAGGGTGCTTTTCTCCCTCCCTTTTCTTTCGGCATTTTTTCATGCCCACTCAGCACAGCAAAGAAAAGCGTGCAATGCTTCTCAGGAAACAATCAATTTTCAATTTCTTTTCCAGGAGATGTAACCAAGTATCACCAGAGAACTGTGCTCTTAATAAAATCACCAGAATCTATAGCTGAATATAAGGCTGCTGAATCTGCCAATGGCAGAGATGAAAGTGGATCTGCTAACACAGAAATCAGATTTCTGGCTGTCTTTCCCAGCCTTCAGAACTACGTGGCATTCTACCCTTCACCTGGACAATAAAACACTAGGATAATTCACTGTACCAAATATCAACTAACCCTGTTTCGCTTCTCCTGTAAACGTCACCTTTCATTTTTCCTAACAGCAGCAATCAAAAACAAAAAAAAGGAATTTCTTAGTTTCCAGAAATATTTTCCTTCTAGTCATCAACTTTGCAGCTGTAACAATCAGTCTCTATAACAGCACTATAAAAACTCATTTCCTGAATTACTGTGTGAAGATAACATATTATGAAAAGAACGAAGGAGTGACTGAAGTGTAGCTTACTGACAAGACCAAGTGTTTAATCTGCTGTGACCTCTAAATTTTTGAAGCAGATTTGATGACATGATAAAGCAGCAATTCCCACTGCAATTTTTCATCACCTAAGAAAAGTGTTTGATATGCCTGAAAATCAAAGTGAAGATGACTGTCTTGAATTTTCTTCTGGAAATATGATCCCAGAAAGAGCTACCAACATTTCAATGTTTTTTTTTTGACTACATTTCCAGATAGGAACAGGGAGTTCCCATTGGAGGCTTCTCTTCACATGGTGAAAATCTCTTAAGTAATTTTTATTTATGTCTCAAACATATGCACAGAAAATGGGACTAAGATTTTAAAAAGGGAAGTACCCACTATAAGACAAAAAATCCTAATCAAACAAAACCCTCCCCAACAGAAAACAAATGCCATAGAAAAATAGATTTCCAGGCATAAATCATAAAAGAGCTGGTATCTCTTCTACTTTCTGCCCTACATTTAATTTTAAATTCATATTACTTCTGTGACTTCCTTTAAGATACAGGAAGGGGAATAAAAAACCCCCATAAGGGGTTTTCTATATCCATAAGGATATAGAAAAAGAGAGATCATACTTTTTGGGAGATCAACATGTATCAACAAGTATGATCAGCATGAAGAATTACATTAGTAAATTAACTCAAAAAATGACTGGAAGAGTCAGTCATTTTAACATATGATTATACTATTTACTATTTATCTATATAGGAAGCAGTGAAAGTCTTTCAACCAAAAGTATGATGGGGTGGCATAGCTAGATAAGCTCATTTTATGAAAATATATGATAGTTAAAATATCTAATGATACAGGTATAAACAGCTGTAATTTATGGTTAAGACAGCCAAGGAAAAAAACCCCAAAAAACCAAACCAGCATACAGGTACAGCTTTACTAGTAGTGTAATAACACAGAGTGATAAAAAGTCCTGTTAGGTAAGCTCTGTACATGTGTTCAAGATCCCCAAAGCTGAGGACAAATAAATAACTGGATCAATGTATTCATAAAATCTCATACATACATATGCTTTGCCTGAGCCTTTGATTTCTAGTCTCATGATTGCAGAATTACTTGAGAGGAGTTGTTTTACCTCCTAAACTCCTCTGCAGGATACAACACTCATCTTCCAGACAAAAGCCTAATCAGCCTTGACTTCTAAAGTACCAGTCAATTTATTGCCTCAATGGACTTCTCACCAGGGAAAAAAATAACTCTAATGGACTCCTCTGACAAAACTGCATAAACTAAAATAGTGGGTACACATTAAATAATGTGAAATACCAATATTTTGTTGTGTGCCAAAAGACTAAACAACAGCACAAGCATTAGCTTGTTCACTAAAATTCAGAATGCAGTTAATAAAATACATACTACAGATCTGAAATAGCAGGCAAGTTATTACTTCGAAATAGGGCATAAGAATCTTGCTTCCGAGGTACACACAACATCTATAAGATGCTTCCAAGGTACACGCAACATCTGATGCCCACTGAAGCTGTCTCTGCTCTACATTTCAATATTTAAATAACCAACAAAAAGGCACAAACTTGCCTATAGCTCCTGTATTTTATATTGGTAATCTGCATTGCACGTATTTGGCTACTTTTAAAATAATGCAGTTCTCAAAATCGAAAAAAGTACAGTCTATACATTTTCGAGGTGCTACTCTGTTTTTAGATGTATCAGCTCTGAACATTTGAAGAAAAAAGAAATCAAAACCTTTTTTTCTTACTCAAGTTGCTAATGCTGAAGGCTGAAACACTACATCTAACCTGATACACATTCTTTGACTGGTTATTAGATTTTTACAGACATGCAATGTATCAAAAGCACACATTATGTTAAAACAGACTTTCAGCCTGGGGTAAGAAATACAGGTTAATAATTAGCTCAGTGCATCAGGGTATCAAGCCTTGAATCTCTTGAGCTGCTGAGGAGAGAAAGAGACTGTAGGCAGATCAGAAACCTGAGGTAGGGAAGCAGAGATTCCAGCATTTTATTCTGTTTTTTCCTGTCTCAGCATTTATCTTCAGCTACTGTCAATTTTTAAGATCTCAGCTCCTACCAAAAGTGCAGGCAAAGAATGAGAAAAAAGGGAGAAGACAGCCCAGCACCTGTTTCTCTCCACTTGAGTTTCCAAAGGTGTGGCGGAAGCCATTCTGTATGACATTTGAGATCCCTTCCATGCTGAAGCGCTAAAAGTAGTGAAAACAAAGCAGAAAGAAAAAAAAAAAAGGGACAGAGAAAAGTTCAGAAGTCTATTAATCAGCATTTATCAAGACTATGAAAGACAAATGGATAAGACAAGCTCCCAGGTGTATTTCAGCACACTTCTATTTCTTTACTCACCTACTTAATTTTTTTAATTAAAAAGAAAACCTTATAATGGCAGTTAAGCAGTATTTCTACACCAATATTTATTCAAACAAAATCTTCACACTGCAGACTTAATAATCGAGACTTGCCTTTTACGGCTGTTTCATTTTGAATTGTATAAAAATAGCATTTTTCAAAGTTCAGCTCACTGTAAAATTCCCTCTAACGTTTGTGTTTGAACAATGTACGTTTAGAGACACTATTGACACCAATTTTTCAGATTTTAAGCATGTACTAGAAACACTGTTCAGAGGTAGTAATTTTCAGCTCCAACTCTTTAAAACTTTTAATGCTTTCATGCTTCCTTTTCCACAACTGAAGCATAGATTAGTATTGCCTATATTCTATAATACTATAAAATATACACAATTAGATAATAACACACCCATATTGATTTCAAGCCCCACTGCATGGAATCATGGAATCCAAGTAAAGTAAAAGCAGTATATAATCCAACTACACATTTTTCCTTGAACTTTGTAATCCTTTTTGCTTGTTGGAGAAGTAAAAAAAAATCAAAACATTTTTGATGTTTAGCATGTGATATAAAATCACCAAGTGACATAAACATAAAAAGAAGAAAGAGCCAAGCTGCTGACACAGGGCAATATGATGAGCACACCTCAGCGTGTTTATCGGAAACTATTTATTTATGTGAGGGGAATAAAATGTGCTGGAATACAGTGTTATTTTACCTTCCAAAGCACACAAGGTCAGTAAAGACATACATTTTGCCAAAGCCATCTTAACTCTTTTAAGATATCCTAATTGAAGGAACGGGTATCTTCAGGCCCTGACTATTTTTAATTGCTCTCTAGTTTCCCCTTATGAAAGAGGTAAAAGTTTAGAAGTCTGAGAAACTGATTTACCCAAAGACAGTATTAAGGACAAAATAATTATAATATTTGGGGTTTTTTTTTATATTCAGTTATAGTATCTACAGGAAAATTCATTTTCTTATGAGTATGACAATTTAACTCTACTTCCAAGGTTTGCATTTAAATGAGACTTCAGTACAGTTAACAAAACAACCAATGAATACATTATTTATTAACAGGAACTCAGTCTTCACAAAGCTACTAGAACATACTACCTGCATGCACCACATTCTCAGCACTTCCAAAAAAAAAAAAAAGGAAAAAAGGGACTGCTGAAGAAAGGAACCTTGAACCTTGCACCTCCTTCTGGGAGACAGCTCTCAAATCTGTCCTTGATGACAGTGAAATCTATTTTCAAAGGAATCACACACATGCTGCTACAGTCTCACCTGTGAGCCAGTCTGTTCAATCCCTCTTAGAAAACAACCTGACACATCTGTATCTTGAAGCGACCAAACACCAAAATGTCTTATCCTGGGACCATGCAAAGTTATACCTGAAAGCATCATTCAAGTTTCTAATCTTTAAACTAACTAGAACAGCTTGTGAATCACTCAAGTTCCAAAACAAAGTAATTATTTTTCTTTCTAGGTAGAATATCCCCTTTTGGTTTTCCATGACTGGCAAGGAAAAAGGAACAATTCACTGTGCTCTTGTAAATGGATGACAATTTTGTATGGTTTTCCAGACATATACTTTCTTAAGTTCCACCAAAACTTAGCTAAACACACAAACATCTCTCATTTGACAGAAGAGATCAGAACCCTATTTGGGGTATATCACAGGTATCTTATGTTTGTAAATTTAGAAATAAATTTTGAATTAATTTTTAACATTTAATATTTCATTATAAATGTTTATTCCTTGTATTTGAAAAGAAAACCCCAAAACCATCTCATGTTGAACTGAAACATTATTTCTAGGACTTAGCCAAGATCTACAAAACCACATTTTTTGCATCCCATAAGAATCACTAAGAAATTCAAACATTAATATTCACTTGAGTAAATTTAAATTATACTAAACAGGTAAGAAAGAAAATATTGCATTGACAAGCTAATAACCTAATTTCTTTTGTTCTTTGACTCCTCTTATCCAACTCTACTTGAAAGACGTTTTTCCTTTTGTTGCTATGTTCTGTAAAGAATAAAACAAATTATCTCTTCCCTGTATACATGCACTACACTTTGGCCTCCTTCCTGTCTCTTGTTGAATGTAGTAACTGTGCCACAGGTTAGGAGATCCAGGGTAAGACCTTCACTTTTTTCCTACCTAGAAACCAGCATGATCAATAAATATCTGTGCAATGACAGTAAGAACAGTACTGAATTGCCTGCAAGACTAACAGATACTAAAATTCACACAGTGAAACCAAACACATAAACGCATTTGCCTACTGACAATAGAATGCAGAGTAGTACATCCAAAGACAGTATTTTTTGCAAGAAAGGTATGCCAGTTCCAGGCTGATTTGCAAACAGTCAAAAAATATTTTCTGCATATGAAAAGAGTAAAATATATGACCCTGTGAAAAAATTCTCAACAGGAAAAGCTTAAGCCTTGTTTGTGAATGAAAGCATGGAAGCAGGAGTACCAGGTATCTTAATATAATCTAGGACTACTACTTCCCATAGCAGAAAAAAAACCCCAAAAAAAGTTTAAATGTATAAAGACTTATAAAAATTTTCTTACTGTTCCAGGCATATGACCTCTTTCTTGTTTGCCATTCTGAGGACTACCATTTTTCAGCTTCTTTTTCTTCTTTGCTGTTTCTTTGTGTTCTCGCTGTTTGTTCTGTACTTCAATGAGGACAGAAATGAAGCTGTTTTTCACTTCCTTCTCAAACTCCAGCTCATCTCGTAGAGCCAGCTGCTGTACCAGTTCCTCAGAATAATCCTTAATAGCAGTCTCAATTTCTTCTAGCAGTTCATTTAATTCAGCAACAGACAATCTTTTGACTCCTACAAATAGTTCATATAAAAAGTAATATGTCAAGATTTTAAGCATGAGTAAACTTGTGGGAGTTACAAGAAAAATGTACTCTGAAATTTCTCAAAACAAAAAATTCAGTTCTAAAATCACATAGAACAAAACAATATTCCCAAAGGAATAAACACATCCCAGAGGTGACAAGATTAGCAACAATAAGATGGTTAAATTTTCTTCTTACTTCTGAGAAATCTGGGATAATCTGCAAATATGAAGAATGTGTTGGTAGTTTATGCTGGAAGCTGAATTAAGTGCTAAACTTCTGACACAGCTATTAACTATTAGTTTCCTCTCCACTCACTGTTCAAAGGAAAAGGGCTTCGTATTTTCTGAACTACTGGGTGATGTGTTACAGATAGCGCTATGACCAAGAAAATGTTTTAACGCTTGCTTGGGTTAAAAGAAAGCAGATCTTTGAGGACTGCTTTCTGTTCCAGTTTAGATCTGACACACCTAGGAAGCTGGCAAGTCCCAGCAGCTGCTGTGTCAAAGAACATAATCTTATTTGGCACTTGACAAAGAGCCAGTCCTGATTACACTGACAGGTACAATCTGTTTAAGGACACTGCATAGATACTTGCAATTATTTAATTTCATTTAATTAGTATAGTAAATATCCTGTCTACAAGAATACTTGTAAGAGAAAGCACCTACAGACAAGTGTTGAAAAATACAAATAAGGCCACAAACTACAATAAAGTGTAGCTCCTAGAAGCATCAAAGGTAGTAAAGTGAAATGTCAATTTTCTCTCTTAAATTACAGCAAGGAAAATTGATTGGAAAAAACTCCTTATCACTTACTTAACTGAAGAAAAGGCAATGAAACCCGTTAATTAAATTCCACGTCAAGGAGCCACAGTTTTTCAAGGTAGCTTAGGCCTTAAACTCTGTTCAAACACTGTAACAGTACTCAGAGAGTAACAGAGAGGGCACCTGTGAGTACCAACACTTAAGAACCAGCTTCACAGCCTAAAAACCAATTGTTCTAAAACCACAGGTGTAGGTTACCCTGCTGCAGTCCTGACTGATGACAGATCAGTTGTCATTATTGAAGTCTTGAAAGGGCTACATAGGAAATCCTCAGCTAATGCACGTGAGTGGGGACAGAGGAATTCAAATGCAGAAGACTACATGGACTGCAACTTAGTAGGCTGAGGAACTCACTTGTGCAACCAGAGCTTTATTTTTGGCCTGCCTTAATGTATGTCTTTTCCTGTCCAATAAAAAAGTAAATAAAAGTGATTTCCTGCTCTGAATCCTAAATGAATGAAAATCTCTGATCTATCCTATAAAAATCAAAAGTTCCTAGGAAAAACCTGTAAAAATTTCTGAGAGATGCAGACCAATTCTGAAGCACCTTCACACACTAAAAATAGGTAGCAAGAGTTTTTAATAAAGTAGTGACCTGAAAGACATAAAAGCAGAATCCGAGAAACTGCTGAAGCGAAGTTAAATTATCTGCCAAAGTAACTCAAGGCACTATTTGGTCGAGACTGACCTTTAAACTGTAAAGATGCAACAGACAAGATGAACTCCTGAGGCAAAGGAAAATTGACATGATATGAAATACTGAGCAAGCTTGATTAGCTCAAACCTTAAGACATATGGAACTGTCAGAAAACCAGGAAGCCCTGCTGAACACAATACATTTTGCTTTTCACTTTCCTGAAATTTATGTGTTGAGACAGTTAAGAGACCATTTTCATGGTTGGAATCTCTTCCATAAATCTGAAATGTAGCAGAAACTCTAAGTCATGCCACAAGAGGTTGGCCAGTTTTCTGAATCTTCTACAGAGTTTGTGTTGTTAACCCAGACTACAGGAAAGAGAGCACCAAACTTTTAAAGAAAGACAAAAGCAGAAAGATCATCTATCAAAAGTTCTTTGTGTCCCTACTACCTTCTAGAATTCATGTTGGTAAATGTAAAGATTAAACAAAATTTTCCATTATGAAACTGATTAGTCACAGGTTTTTTTTTACATGCAATTCAACCTACTACAATTTAATTATTAATCTAATTTCTCCTTTGCTTTGTATAGGGAAGCACAGATGATTTCATCTGAGTAGAAGACACAAAGGATATTTTTCATTTTTAAGCTTTCTGAAGAGGAATGGACAGGGAGGATCGAAAAATATGCATGGTCCTTATGGGGCAAAAAAGAAATGGTTGCCTTATTTTTGTGTTACTGTCTATCAAGACATGTTGCAATGAGTGAAACTGTATCACAGGTATGGTAAAGCTTTATTTACTGAATAGCTTTCAAGAGCTTTAGCTCATCTTAAACATTGTATTGGCTTCAAGAAAGTGTCCCACATTACAGAAAAATAATTAAGTTTAATAAAAAAATACCAACTTATCACTTTACCCATGAAGCAATCTCATTCCAATGTTTCAACCTTCAGCATATTTGCTTTAAATTTAAATTCTATTAAGTCTTATTTTTGTTCTTAGTCTTAAGAAAGCTGACAAAGGTAAGTCCTCTACCACTAAATCTAGGCTACTATTTCAGAACATTTTGAAAATATTTTTTGAATGCAGATATTTCATAAGAAGGACTTGCTAAGAATCAAGCACATGGCAAACTTATGCTTTAAATTATTTTCATCAAGCATAAGAGCAAAAATGCTAAATAAACACCACTTACTCTCTTCATAGCTGTTGTTTGTACTGGATCTCTTGAGGGTCTGAATTTCCTGGGAAAGTATAGAGAGCCTATCTGATTGGGTGGGTGTTTCATCATCTTCTGGATCAGGCGATTCCTGCATCATTTCCTCTATTTCTTCAATCACCTTTGAAAAACGAAAACCCTTATGAAAACCCTCCTACATGAAGAGCTTGCAATTTGAAGCAAACCTGGATGAAACTACCACCAAGACTAGATGGAAGAGGATCAATAAAATCATACTGACATTTCCTCCCTACCCTTGCTCCCTGTTACCTTGTAACAGTAAATTGGTGATGGCAAAACAAGAAGTGCTCTGAAACTATGGGGTTATTTCTATATGAAGGTACCCATGATTTTGCTTAAGAGAACTAAATTAAAGAGTAAGCTGGAGTATCTTTTCTGAAAGATATTCAGTTGAAGGAAGACACAATAACAAAAATCAGTTACCTCCCCCACTCCTTATTTCACCACATTTTTCTGTGTAAAACCAAGACCCCTGCCTCCACCAACCAGAAACTAACAAAATGAAAACAAACAAAAACAACGAAGAAAAAGTCACAAAAAACTCTCTGACAAACCAAAAAGCCCCTCTAAACAGCCTGAAAATCTGCTGTGCTTGTGAGAAGTTTTTTGAACTGATCCACCATAACCTGAAGCTGATTTGCATCCCTGGCATAAGACCTGAGCCAGACAAAAAGTATGACAACAGAAATTCTGTGCATAGATAGCTTACTTTACATCACATAAACTATTACATTTCTACGGGCTAAACCATTAAATAGACATCTGAATAAATAACACAGCAACTTTTAGAAGTTTAGAGGCTGTAGTCAGTGCTGAGATCCAGCCCACAGTAAAAAAGAGCCGAGGCAGTTCAAGCAGCCCTGTCTCCTGTACTATTAATAACCGTGTTCATCAGAGTTCACAGATTAACCATTGCTTAACCATTTAAGCAACAACAAAATAGATTGTTTGCTTACTAAAGCAGGATCTTAATAGACCTTACTCTCATTAACCTTACTAAGAAGAGCAATTTGCAAGATAACTGAAGTAAATCCATGGATTTAAAGACTTTAGATACCAAGTAATTTGAAATCTTAATAGCAGAAACACTGATGTGCCCTCATGTTAGGCAAAAACTTCAAAGAACTCTTGCTAACAGCAAAGCCCTGTGAAACTATGAAGTGCCACACAGTTATGCTAGAAAATTACAAACTCTACCATACCACTAAGATTCTGAAAATAATTTTGCTTTTTACACATATATTTAATTTAGTAGCATTCCTGACTAATTCATTGTAAGAAATACCAAAGATTTCAAAGACGCTGGACTATCAACCTCACCTGAAATACTGAAACACTTTTAAAATCTGAATGATGTAATGCTATCTCCCACATTATTAAAACCCTAAACAAAGAACAACCAAGAAGCTTAGCTAAAGTGAAGAGCAAGAGCAACAAAAAATAATAACAGACTAAAAAAACATTCTACACCAACAACACTGTCTTTGCTGAGCACTTTACCTGTTCTGCCGTGAAGAGTGGCTCTTCATTGATGCAGGAAACAATGATAGAATGCATATCCAACTGTTCTCTGAGCTCTTCATCATCTGACAAGTCAAGGTTCAAGTTGTCATTTACCTAAAAAGCATGAAAAGGTGCATTTATGTAAATATATATACACACCCCTAATGTGAAGGTATAAAATGCATGTGACAAGTACAAAAAACAAATGGGGACCTATCACTGAATTTTAAGAATGAAACTGAACTTGGCCCAAAATAATGGAATCAACAGTTCTTTCTGTCAAATAGCCTGGAAAATGAAACCAAAACTGCAACTGGACAAAGTCAAAATAGCTGTCAATCTTTAATGTCCATACAAAAAGACCATATACACACTGACATGCAGATATCTACATGGGAGGCTGTCAAGTAAATACTTGAATCTTAATTGAAGATTGCAGCTGTCAATCTTTAATGTCATTAAATAATGTCCATACAAAAAGACCATATACACACTGACATGCAGATATGTCAAGTAAATACTTGAATCTTAATTGAAGATTGACAAATGTCTGTGTGGGGTGAAAAACTTGCCTACAGTGTCTAATATTACACAAACCTCTTACTTTAAGTGCTTTTATGGCTCCACTTTATCACATAATAAAAGACATGGAAAAAACCTGAGAAGAGTTGATCCTGAACGGTGGTATCAGAACACTGGTATCACTCCAGATTATTTAAAAAAAAAAGTGTAATTGAATATCTCAGGGTCTTTTCAAAAAGAAAGAGAAGTAACACTGTTCTCATATATAAACACCAAATTATATTCATCCTTTCAAACCAAAGATATATGTAAGCTAAGAGACATAAGTCCCCTCCTTAATGAGTCAGGCATTTTACTCTCACACAGTAATATATCCTGGTTTATTTACAAAATTGTTTCTGTACTTTGTCTATTACTAGATTCTAGCCTAGAAAAGCCCCTCAAAGCTGCAACACCCAATGTCTGCCATGTGAGCTCAACTGCTTTAACTGATCTTTGGGCTAATTTACAAGCATTATGACTGGCTGTACAAAGCTCTTGCTCTCACAGTATCAGTTTTCAATTTTTCTTGTAATTCCTCCAATTTTCTCAGTTTCTTCAGAAACCTTAATAAGTTCCCAGATTCGTTTTGAACCTGCAACCAATATCCCCAGATAGCTCACCTGCAGGGATAAACACACAATTTTCACTTCTTCAGCCCTCAGAATGAAGTAAAATGTCCACTTTTTTCCACAATCTGAATTCCAGTAACTCTGCAGTGACAAGGCTCCACTAGGACTCTCTCTTCACCTACTACATAGATGCACTCCAATTTGGCATTTTTTAAATGCCTGCTGTCCCCAAATATTTTTTCACGCACATAGGATGTGACAACAATGGTGGGATAGTAAGCAAGCATAAGTAAGCAAGTCTATCTAGAAGGAGATCTGCTTTCACTCCTGACATCTCCAGAAACATTTTGAGAGACCTTCAAAAACATTTTGATAATACAGACTAATAAACCACCAAAAATGGCATCAGCTGTAACCTGGACTAAAAGGAACACCTGGCTTTCCACCCAGCCACACTCCATGCCTCCTGTCCTCCTGCTACCAGGGAATGAGCCATTTAAAAGCAATCTAGCAAAAACAAAGCAAACAAGGAATAGCACAATCCCATTCCTCATACCACTGCGCAAAAAACTTCCACCCAGCTACTTCTTTCACTGTCAGAGATGTACAGAAGTGTACATAGACCTGTCATATGAAGGAACCAAGATCAGGTCAATCAGCCTTATTGACCTCATATCTTTTCCTACTAAACAGGAGGAGAAATGCTTTCTGCACAATTTTGGTAGCATATTATTAGTTTCAAACACATCATGGAAGTGTTACTTAGCTGTTAGTTATCATTGTAAGGAAGATAAAACAAGATACTAGCTGGTCCATATGTGCTGTCACATATCCAGCAAAACTGCTGAACACAAAGCAGCAGAAGAAAAGTATGAAAGTATGTCAAACACTCCCCACAGCCTTTACACATCAGAAGGCATTCCATGTGGAGTGAAAGCTGAAAAAACTTCAGATACATTTAATCCATGAACTGGTTTTCTCTCTACTGGCAGCATATCTAAGATTCTTCCTAATCCAGCAACACTTTACACTTTTTTATGTACTTATGTACTTTCTTCATAACTTCCTGCAAGTAACTTAAAAAAAACTATACGAAACATCTTCTTATGTACTATACTTAGTTCCTTACCAAGAAATCCATTAGTCTTCCACTCAATTTTTCTCTGACACAAGGTCACAGCATGGCGGGGCTGTATTATTAGTTAAACTGTAGGAATTTAATTACTCTAAAGCCATTTATACATCTGAACAAGGACTCAGAAGAAACGTAAGTCAAATTCAAGGGATAACCATGAGATGCAAATCAAGAATCCAAATTAGCACCTCCCTCTACTGAACCCCAAAGTATCTTCTTCTTCAGCAGAACAATCTTTGCTCCTGTCACAGCAAAAAGCACCTGTTGATTAGCTAATGATAATCAATTATCTTTGACAGAAGCCAAAGCATTAACCAATTCTCAGGTTACACACTCAGGTATTTTTACAACATAACTGAACTTCACTATGTTTGAAAGATAAGCCAAATTTAACTTCACTATGTTTAAAAGATAAGCCACGATTTTCCTCAGAAAACCTGTGAGATGGGAATTCCTCACAGCTTTTTTTCCTGAAGTGTTTTAATCCACTTTTAAGATCATCAGAGGACAACCCTTTCTATAAACCTTGCTGAAGCTCTTAATTCTCTGTTCCTGCCCCAGAGAACTATTCTAACTCTTAAATAAGGAAAACAAAACAAGCTCTTGCACTTCAGTGTCTCCTGGGCCACCTTTCTTGTTAAACGAGCCATCTGACTGTGGAATTAGATGAACTTTGGGAAGTTCTCACTGGATTTACTAAATCAGAGTAACTCCTGCCTCCTTTCTTCCCTTACCCAGACCAGTGTTCAACATGAATGAATCATACAGCAGAAAGGTTTTATGTGAAACACTTTCTCATTTTACATGTTTTTCTATCATGCTCTGGCTCTAATGAAGAATCATCTAAAACTAACCCTGAATTATTCCAGCCCAGGGTGACAGAAACATCCATCAATGGTTCTTTGATTTTTAAAAAGCTCTCAAGTATAATAGCAAGTACTGAAAATATTTTCAGCCACTTAAAAGCAATATTCTTTTATAGAAATGCATAGTTTACTTCCCTGTTGAGTACCAAAGAGGGTACTTCTGCTGATCAGAACTTACCCCTTTTTCTGAAAGATTCAGTGTTGGCAAGTGCAAAGCTCTGGTGTGGGAAGATTTCCAGTCAACTGGCATCACGTTACCATAATTATCAGTCAAGGCATTCCAAATCCTGAAGAAAATAATAAAGGAACAAAAATGCAGACCTCAAAACAAGCAGCAACTGAATCAGCAATAACCATATTCCTAATGATCATATATCTCTATCAGTAACTGTATTTTCCTCCCTAAATATTCATTTGCAAGTTACTGAAAACATTTTTAGTGTTTTAAAGGTATGAGAAAATGTTTTTTGATAAATGTAAGTTAATTCCCTTTTTAAGCAACAGCAGAGAAAAAAAACCAATAAATGAAGACATAGCTTCTATACTAATTATGTAACTACACTCAAAATCTTTTCTGGGGGTGGATGAGCCTTTCCGTCAATGAAACTTGAGCTGAGCTATAAATTGCATTCCTAATGTTGTTTAGCAGAGGCTGAGCAGCAAATTCTGAGCCAAATATTTTATTTTTTTCATTTCCATTTATCACAGAATAATGAAAACGCACAGATCAGACTAAAACTTTGGAAGAAACAATTTTTTTTTCTAGGAGAGCTCAGCCCATCACTCTTGTCCTCGGTCAGTCTTTACTGTTTCTAGAGTGTGTATCCTCTCTGGCTGTCCTGGAGGCTGGCCTGTGCAGACCTGAGGCTTGAAGCAGCTCAGTCTAACCACAGCAGCACTGCGAGCAGGCTGGGGACTCAAGTCCCCAGCCAAGCCCTGCCTCCAGGCGCTATGCTGTGGGTGGATGTTTGGAATGGCTGCCCAGCTAAGGCTCACAGGAGGTCAGAGGAAAGGCCGAGGCAGACACAGAAAGGCAGACAGAGCCTCATCACTGCCCAGCATGATTCACGGTTCACTGAACTTACCTCAGTGTTTACACCACAGATCTAGTATTTTGCTAACAGGCTTTTTTTTTATTCTTCTCTTAGAAGAACAAGACATACAGTTGAGTTACCTTAAAGCAAGACAGCAGTATTTTTAATACAGATTAGCTGACTAAATTTACTATAAAATAAGAAACAGAAACATTCGCAAGATAATGCTAAAAACTGTACAGCAGCATGGCCCAGAAAGGCTCTATTCCTCCAGGGGAAAAACTCCAAACAATTATCGCAGTTGCAGCTGCAATTTTGTTCTTCACCTGCTTTCTGCACTTTCCACATTTAAATTCAAGCAGCGAGACAGCGGACACTTTGCAAGAAGCTAAACAAATACTAACCACGGTCACTGCACTCCTGAACCAGCACTTCTCGCTAGCTCGGCGGGGTAAGAAGCTCTGCGATGCTCACACGCTTCCCTGGCAGTCGGGGGGATAAAGCCAGAGGGTTCCAGGCCAAACCCGCGCCGCGGCGGCCGAACGTGCCCCCTTGCCGAGGCCCGGCGGCTCCCAGCTGCAGCCCCGGGGGCGGGGAAAGGCTCCGCTCCCGCAGCCCACAAGCCCTGCTGGGCTCCGCAAGGCCCAGGGGCAGCGCTCTCGCCGGGTAGGGCTGGCGGGCCGCGCTGTCCCCTCAGGCCGGGCCGGGCCTCCCCTCCCCTCCGCTCCCTCTCCGCGCCCCCCGGCCCGCACTCACTCATCGTCCTGCAGCGCGCTCTGCTCCGTGAGCGGCCGCAGCGGAACGCGGCTCTCGCCGCCGCCAGCCCGGGCCTGCGGGGGCTCGAAGCAGAGGGACAGCTTCGCCCCGAGATCCCCGCCGCCCCAGCCGCCCTTGTCGCAGGCAGCCTCGGGGCCGCTCCCCGCGGAGGGCTGGAATCCCGAGAAGTCCTGCCAATCGCCCGGGTCTCGCTGCGAGGTGGCCGCCGCCGCCATAGCTGGGGACGCGGCGCTGCGCGCTCCCGGCGGTGCGCGCTCCCGGAGGCGCGCGGCGGGCGGGGCCCGGCTGAGGCAGCGATCGCAGAGCCGGGCTGGGCTGGGCCGGGCAGGGCCGGGCTGAGGCAGCGATCGCAGAGCCGGGCTGGGCCGGGCCGGGATGTGGCAGCGCCCGGAGCCGCACACAGCGGTGTCCGTACTGACTCACGGCTCCGCACCGAGTAGGGGCGGCTCATCGGGCAGGAGGGGCAGGCGTAGAATGGTTTGGGTTCGAAGGGACCTTGAAAGATCACCAGTTGCAGTGCCTCTGCCGTAGTAGGAGTATTTGCAGTAGTTTTGTTGTAACTTGTATTTATGCTGTCATTGATGCCTCCATTCAGTCACCTAGTACACAAGAAACTAAGCTTTGGAGACAACTTTTTCTTGCCAGCACTGTGACTCCCATGCCCATCCTTTGCTAGCTTTGTATTGTGCCCTTACGTGCAATAGCTTAGTATGGGCTTTTTTAATTTTTTTTTTTTTTTTTTTTTGAGCAGCCATGATTTTTTTGATATCCTAAAGTATGTACCAGCAATTTTCTCTGCTTAATTTCCTGATTCAGTTTGAGCTTCTTTTAATTTTCTTTCTGTTCTTCCTACTTGATGTTTGGCAACACTGCAAGTGGAAAATGCATTCCTAGTTAAGCACTGGAGTGCCAGAGGTCATTGAAAGGATTTGCATCCTCTCCTACTCAGGATTATGACAGGCTGCCAAACCCTAGTGTAAATAGGCATTCCAAATATGATCCTTTCAGACATTGTAAAGCAGAGGAGGCCAGAACTACTTATGAGTGTTAAAATGTGGATGCATCGTTGTTTTATACATTGATGTTTCCATTGTTTTATACATGATGTTTTCTGTTTCATTCTGATGGAAACCCTAAATGCTTGTGGAATTTGAAGATCCTCTTTTAGAAGACATAAGTTTTTCATAGTTCTAGTCTTGGGAAGGAGCAATAATGCTGGAACAGGTAACTAGCGAGGGAGAAAAAATTCAGCACAATGAAATACAAAGACATGCACATAAATACAGATCTATCCTAGTAAAGTCAATTATGGGCTTTGCAATATTGGGCATTTTTGTATTATTGCAGCTAGCTCTGCAAGAACAATAACTTGGCCATCAGTAGCAATCTAAACAATAAACACCATGCTGCATCCAGGGAGTACCACATGTGAACAATGTGGACATTTTCAGCCTTACCCTTCACCTTAAAGGATGTACATGGAAGTACAAGGACTGGCAAGGTCGGCCCTAGGGCATGGAACTACTCCTGAAGAATTGTATATCGGGATTCTTAAGAAAAAATGGAAACAAGATACAGGTCCCTAAATCAGTGTGTGACATATAAGTACTGATCTACTGCTGCTTGGAATGCAGTGTCAGGGATATTAAATGAAGCCATTAGGAGAGTAGGTTCAAAGAAAGGAGGCAGTTTTTCACAGAGCAAGCAGTTAAGCTGAAAACCACTTTGCCTCAGGTTCTTACATACCAGAACTTGGACATCAAGTTAATTAACTTACAAATTAGTAGAAGAAAAAAAAAAACCATTCTAGCCTAAGAGATGAGTAGTTGATCTGCGGTTCAGGAAGTCCATGAAGTGCAAATTCTGATTCCATACACTTTTTGTAGGACCTCACATTAGAATCTTGTATGGTTAATCGTGGCTTTCTGTCAGGTGAGACTAGACCACATGAACTCCATGGCAGGGCAAAGGCCTAACTTTGCATTTGATTCCTCTTTACTGTACGCTGGAACTACTTGGAATTCCACAAAGCTTCTAATGGGAAATTACTTCAGTGTAATATGCAGAACTTTCTGTACATGCAAACTCTTCTTCACCCACAGTACTTTCTGAACTGTTCTGATCTCAGGTCATCATGACAATAACACAAACTCGTACTCACCAGAATATCAAACTACTAATGTCTCAAGGACCAGTGCCCGGAAGTGATTAAGTATGAACATTTAAAAAGACATGCGTCTATAGGTTTAAAATTTTTTATTGTGCTGCCAAGAGCCAAATTACAAGAAACTGCCTTACAGTTAAAAAAGTAAACAAGCAATCTGCTGAACCGCAGTGCACTCCGAGTGCCACATATGCATCTATTTTTCAGAAAATTATATCTGCATTTCTCTTACAAGAGCACAACAGGAACCAAAGTAAAAGAGTGTAATGGATACAGCACATAGGATAAATCATATCTTTAAAATAATAATAATAAAATAATAATAATAAAAACATTTTACACCATGTCCTATATCCTGCTAATATTTTCAGAATATGGCCTTGATTGTAAAACAAAAGCAAGCATTTACAATTTCTGGATAAAGACTGCTTACTCTTATGCAAGGAATGGATGTTTTGTCTTGACAAAATCTCTGTAGTTACTGGACAGAAACATCTCTGTTTCATTCTCAGGCTGAGTACAAAACACTGGGGAGACTACATTTTTTCTTATTGGTGGTTGGAAACTGAAGTTATATAAACAGAAAAAATGTTGACCCTTAATGATACACCTATTTTTTTCTTTGATGCAAACAGCTAGAACACCTTTTTGATATTCTAAAACAAAAAAAAAATTGTTAATCTTCAGATTAATAAATTAGGTCATTATAATAATAAATTAGTTTTTTTTTTCAGTTTTAAAGTTCAGCAATCTCTGACCAAGTATTTACAACAATACTTGAGAGTTCCTTTACAAAAAATACATTTTCTTTTCACATTAAGCATACTGGGTATCTGTGTCTCTTATGACAAGCATTTGTAAAAGAAAAAAGGCAATGCACAAATGGGTAATTAGTATAAAAGTGCCAAGACCTGTTTGGAAAGTTAACATTGTATTATACAGTCAGAGTTATAAATGAGGCAAGCTACAACAAACTTCCAGCTTAATGCGGACAATATTCCAGTAGTTGTTTCAAACAATTGTTTGCAAAAAAATAAAAAAGAAAAACAAAAAGAAAAACAAAACCAACCAAAATCCAGGAGCTGATTGTGTTATTTTATGGAGTTGATTAGTGCTGCATGTATATTGTCATCAGTGTCTCTAGCCAATGCATTCATTAAAAAGCCTTTTTAAGGCTAAGCAGGAAAAGAAAAAGAAGAAACACCCTGAAATGTAGCAAGTAGCAAGAGCAACGCTTACTGCTATAATCGTGCACGAACTGAACACACGCCAACACAAGAGTGCACACACACACACACACACACAAACACGTTCAAATCAAATCAAATCAAATCAAACTGTAGGTAGAATGAGATGCTCTTTTCTTGTCTTTCCTAAACTCACAAGCAATTAAGCATTGATATGGAATGCCTGTTATCTGTTTCTGCTCTGGGTAAATCTCTCTCAGATAAAAATACATTCAACAAGAAAAAAAAATAGAAAAAATATATACTGTATACATAGTATTTTATATATACAGTATATATATGTATAGTGTATATACACATGCACGTATATATACATATGTATACCTACATGCATTTGTATATACATATATATACACAAACATACAAATACTTTTTGTTGTTTTTAGCATAATTATATTTACATAAATATTCCTATAATGCTAAAGTTTAAAGAAGCATGATCTCCTTTTTTTTTCTGAGCTTCAAAAAAGGTGCTTGAGTAATATACAATTAAAATTAAGCAGCTTCCTAGCATGGAAGTAGTTTCTAAATCTGCATACCAGTAAATAAGAACATCAACAGGAAAAAAAAAACAACCTTAAAACAGTCTCTTTTTTACTCTCTTGTACGCAAGAGCTTTGTCCAACAAAAATATTTTTCCTTCTCCTGTATGAACAACCAGAGATTGATATAAAATAACAAAACAAAACCACAACAGACAAAACAAACAAACAAAAGCCCCTGGAACTGCATGGTGTTCTTGAGTTTTCCTTCCATCCTTCCTCCCTTTCTTCCTCACTTCAATACTGCTGTCAAAAGATCCAGTGCTCATATCAGGAATTACTTAGGCCTCAGTCATTTGCTAACTCTGCTGAAGTCTGGCTAATCTAGCCAATCAGCTTTGAAGAAAACAAAAATAAAAACAAAAATAAAAACAAAAAGCAGCACAAGGTATAATTTTGTACATCCTTAATAAACCCACCCTTTATTTTCTGCTATAATCTTTTCCTTGCTATTTCATTAACTACTGCAGCTTCTCATCATATAGAAAAATATTTGCAGCTACACCACACCTGTGATGTGACAAATTCTGTTCTAGGAGTACATTACTGTAGCAACAGCTGGAAAAAAATAATCAGACCTTTTCATATTTTTTTCACCTGGGGTTAGGCTTTTGCTGCAACAGATGCAATTTCAGAGCAACGAGATAAACCACTATCCTGTTGCTCAGCAGTATATTTTCATCTCCAGCCAAGCATGACCAGCTTTTCTTCTCTGAAACTTCCTTTTACTTCATTGCCTACCCCTAGCCCCTGATTCCCCCTCCCAAAAAACCTCTATAGCTATGTTACAAGCAAATACATCTTAACAAGTTTCAAAACTTTGGTTCTAAGAAAACACTTGGTCAGTTATCTCAAGGAAAAGTGGGAATGCTTTTTCTGGCACATTGCAGGAGTCAGAGCTCATCCCAGAAAGGTCTTAGAGCTGTACATGTAGTCACAAATCCAATACAATCCACTAAGCAACTGCACAATTCTAGTTTTATTTTAATAGCAGACTGTCTCTCTTTCTCTCGCTCTCTCTCTTTCTTAAATCCTTGGCAAGGGTGCAATTCTTCAAACTGTTTGATAGAAATTATCTGCCTGTAGGTTGTTCTGTTTCTGCATGCTGTAAAATCCACTGTATCTTGAATCTGGGTCTGCAATTCTTAGCATCCTCTGAGAACTGTCCACCTGGACCCTGGTACCTTTCTCGCAGTCCACATATACCAGTTGATTGTTTAGGCAAGAAGGCTGTTAAAACAGAAAGGAAATATTGAGTAAATAATTCAGTTTTTGTATTCCACACACAGTTTTTAAAG